ATTCTCCAGGCCAAGATACATAAGAGTCCTGTGGTCTGGGGATGTGAGGACAGCTGGACAAACAGCTTGGGGACTGCGGGGCCAGTCTCCTGCCAGGACTTGGTGCCCTCATGGGGGAGTGGGTGGAGTGCTGAGGGCAGTGGGGGATGGTGGGCCCCTACAAGCACCTTCTCTCTCCAAGCCTGTGCCAACCCCACCTTGGAGAAGAGCTCCCTCCTGACTTCCTGACCAGCTGTGAGCCTGGGAGAATCTGGAAAAGACTCCCATCGGAGACTCTGGGCCCTGAATTGTGTTTGGGTCCTGGGATCATCTGAGTGGCAAGGGATTTCCCAGCAGCCTCCTGGCTCATGGAGAGTTTTTGGATGGACATACTCTCATGGCAAGTGATTTTCAGAGCCAGGAACTATCCCTCAGGGGAACCTTGTGGGCCACTAAAACCTCGCAATTGGACTTCCTTGTACTGACTAGAATGTAGACTTAAATTCTGGTCATACTTGCTGAGAAAGGGTCAAATCTGGGAATCTCTGATTGGCCCAGAGCCACAGAACCATATGCCAGCTAAGTTGAATGCCATCAGGTAAAAACATCTCATTAATACACATAAGGAGACCGAGGCCCAGAGCAGGCAAAGGATTTGTCCTTGGTCACACGGCAAGCAAGTCCGGAACTCAACTGTTTGGACTCCATTGTTCTTCCTACCATGCCAGCAACCATCACATATCCCAGATTTTCTGGGGTAAGTCCTGATTTTGTATGATTTTATTCCATTAAATAAATGGGATTTAAAGCGTGGGACCACCTGTGATTTTGGTTTTTATTCTTTTGTGAGACTTTTCAAATAAATGATTTACAGATTATATAAAACACTCTTACTTAGATCATATGCCCTAAGCGTGGGTTTGAAATGATTGACCTGGGGAGCAGTTCAGCAGATTCCAAGTGTCTGCCAGGCCCCTAGCAATGTTCTGAGTAAGGAATTCTGAGCTACACTAAGAGCTTTGTGCCTTGTGGCCTGACTTTCCTGGCTGATGGATGGTGCAGAAATGAGAAATTCATCCAAAGACTTCCATTTAAATGCTGGACATGAGGCCAGTGAGCAGCGAGTTGATGCAGCATGAGGACTCTGCCCAAATGTGGTGCTCCATGTTGGATCTCCATGCACTGAGCCAGATGGAGTCCCTGCTTCGACGCAGAAGGAGGGGAGAAGAAAGAGCAAGTAGAGCTGGGTTGTAGAGGAATAAGCAGCAATGGAGAGAAGGAGGAATCCAGAATGGGGATTTGGGGTTTGCAAGAAGAATGGGTCTTGTGAATGGCCAGTTTGTCCTGACCAACATCCCAGTTCACCGTGAGTCCTGATCATGTACCTGGAAAGTGTTTTCTTGGGTGTCTTCCCTTCCCTTCATATGTGTCCTTGCAATAAGCACCCTGAAGCAGCACAGGCATAGTTATGGCCAGGACATCCTGGGAGCCACTCTGAATTCTGGACAACTGAAAGATGGGGGGACAGTGAAGTCAGTGTTCCTCCCTGAGCCTGGTCCTTCTCCCTCCAGGTTGAGCCAGTCAAACCAAGGGAAGGCATTGCTGGCTCTGTTGTCAGCTGATCCTAGGCTCCAAGGTAGAAACTTTATAGGCAGAAACCAGGTTTCAAGGTAGAAACTAGATGGTTTCTCCCTATCCAGCCCCATAGCACTCTCAGCATAAAGGCCCGATCTCAGGGGGCAGTGTGGCACAAGGCTGGTCCTAGGTGCCAGCCCCAGATCATCTACAGGTTGGCAAGTGGGGAGTCCTGCATCTAAAATGATCATAAATGGCCAGTCCCAGCAGCTTCCCACATGGCTGGGTGACAGATGGACTGGCACAGGAGACCTGCTTCCCTTCTCATTCTCTTTCAACGTGGCTCTTGCTTCTCTTCTCTGACTTACCCCCTAACTCCCTACTTATACTTTCTGGGATCTCCTGCCAAATAGACTGTGATACTTGGACTCAAATTCTTGTCTTGGGGTCTGCTTCCAGGAAAATACCCACTAAGACACAACTGTGATCACAGTTCAGTGTCTGATAAGCAGGATGCCCAACCCAGGCTCTGGGGGATGGCACGGAAGGCTGTTTAGAGGAATGCATCCAAGCTGGGCCTTAAGGATGAGTTGGCATGAGCCAAGTGCTGGGGAGTTGGAAGCGGGGAAGCCAAATTGGGCATGGTGAAGAGCAGGGGCAGTCCAGGATCTGGAAAAATGTCAGTTGAGGCTGGATTTCAGCGTACAGGGTAGACACTGTTAAAAACCAAAGCTGTTGAGACAGGTTGGGCCTGGTCATAGTAGGCCTTGTGAGAGACTTTAGATTTTATCCCAGTGGAAGCTCACCAGAAGGTTGAAGTAGGGGTACACTGCGATCCCTTTCATATTTATTAAGCTGTCTCTTAAATCTCTAAACACAGATTTGAGAGTAATTAGCTGCTGCTGATAAAGGCCTGCAGTGTGTCTGAGTTGTTCAACGTGGTAGCTACTACTGAGTGCTTGAATTGAGCTAGTCCACCGAAATATGCTGCTGGTGTAAAATACACACCAGATTTTGAAGACAGTCTGAATTTAAGGTTATAAAATATCTAATTAATAACTGACCGGGTGCAGTGGCTCATGCCTGCAAGCAATCCCAGCACTTTGGGAGGCTGAGGCAGGCAAATCACAATGTCGGGAGTTTGAGACCGGCCTGACCAACATGGTCTGACCAACATGGTGAAACTCCCTCTCTACTAAAAATACAAAAATTAGCCGAGCATGTTGGCAGGAGCCTGTAATCCCAGCTACTAGGGAGGCTGAGGCAGAGAATTGCTGAACTTGGGAGGCAGAGGTTGCAGTGAGCTGAGATCGCGCCACTGCACTCCAGCCTGAGCAACAGAGCGAGATTCTGTCTCAAAAAAAAAAAAAACAAAAACCCAAAAACCTTAATATTTATTAATGTGGAAATAGAATATTTGAATACATTGGGTCAAACAAGTATTATATTATATACATAATATATTCAAAATTATTTTCACCTGTTTCTTTTAGCTTTTTAAAAATGGTTACTAGACGATTTGGAATCACATACGTGGCTTACATTCTGTTTCCACTGGACAGTGCTGGGGAAGAATGTTATAGGAAGAGATCCTAGGAAAGATTCCTGAGGATCATCAGTATTGAAGAGATGACAGAGGGAGAGGAGCTCCTTTTGGAACTGTTTGGTTACAAGGAGAAACCCGTCAAGTGAGCTTAGACAGAAAGGGGAATTTATTTGGAGAGTTCAGGAATATCTAATAGAACCCCAGTACAAAAAGTGCATTCGGCGATGATGAGGAACTGTGACCTGGAATTCATTAAGAACCAGTGGAAATAGCCTCACCAGCTCTTTTTATCTGGGCCCATGTGGTCTCTTGTTCTCTTTTTCTCTGTGCATCTGTGTTATTCTCTTGCTGCAACTGGCTTTCTCTGCTCTATCTGCATCTGGGCTAGTCCAGCCTCATGCTAACGTGCCTTCCCAGGGCAAGGACCAAGAGATGGATGAGAACCTCTAAGATCTCAAATCCTAGCCCAGGAGAGAATATGTGATAAATGAGATTTGGATCTGGAGTGCTCTCTGGTCTAGTTGGTCACCACCAGGGGTGGTGGGTCATGGAACTGTTCAGATTCTGGGGATGCAGACCCTTAGAAAAGGGGTGGGGGCAGGATAGGCAAAGTGAACACTGCAGCATTTACAGGATACCCTAAAGGGGTCTGAGAAGGAGTAGTCAGTGTGTGGGAGGGAGCTGCAAACACGTGGCCTCTCAGAAACCAGGGAAGGGGAGAATGACCAGTACGACCAACCAGTATGAGGAGGGCTGAAAAGTGACTTGTGGATGCAGCACAGGAAGGTGATCAGCGTCCTTGGTGAAAGCAGTTCCAGGGAGGGAAGGGGTGGGGTCGGAGTGCAGTGGGGAGTTGTATGAGGCTAGAAGGTGGATACAGGGGAGGCAGACAGCTCCTTTGGCTTTGAAGGGAGAAAGAGCCAGTGTGGCCCTTGGAAGGAGACGCAGCATCCTGGCATGTGTTTGTTTGTTTGTTTTGATTTTTGTTAAGATGGGAGAAGCCTAAGCTTGTTTAACTGGTGATGGGCAGCAGCCAGGAAAGAGGGAATGGGCAGAAACCCCAGAGGGAAAGGGATGGCTGCTGATGGGAGAGGCTGAATGTGGAGCTCCAGTGGGCGGGGTTGGCTGTTCTTCTTTTTTTTTTTTTTTCTTGAGATAGAGTTTCACTCTTGTTGCCCAGTCTGGAGTGTGCAATGACACGATCTTGGCTCACTGCAACCTCTGCCTCCCAGGTTCAAGCGGTTCTCCTGTCTCAGCCTCCCGAGTAGCTGGGATTACAGGCATAAGCCACCATGCCCAGCTAATTTTATATTTTTAGTAGAGACGGGGTTTCTCCATGTTGGTCAGGCTGGTCTCAAACTCCCAACCTCAGGTGATCCAGCCACCTCGGCCTCCCAAAGTGCTGGGATTACAGGTGTGAGCCACCGCGCCTGGCGGAATTGGCTGTTCTGCTGCAGCCAGAGGGCCCTGGGAACATGGCAGCGGACATTGACAGTGGTCAGCTACAGGTTCAGTTTTCTCAGTTAACAGGAGGAAAACTATCTGCTGGGCATGGGGCTGAGACATGGATCAGAGATTTTGGGTGATCGGTGGAGGGGAATCAGGATTGGAGGGGCTCTGGCTTCTGTCTGCAGCCACTCTGAGCTTGGTCGATCATCTGCTCACAGCATGCTGGGACATGTAGACACACATGTATTTTCATGCACAGGTGTGGTCTACACACCTCAGAGCACTCACACATGCTCACATATGTTCATATCAGTCCAGCTTGCATGTACCTCTGGTGCCTGTACACAGGCCTGTTGTACATGAAAGTATGGATGGACCCAGATGCGTATGCTAACGTGTCCACACAGTGGCCAGCTCCCATCCCCGCCCCTGTTCCCAAACATCATGGCTCGAGTTCTTATCGCTATTTATTGAAACCTCCCATCAAATAAAAGTGTGGGAGGCAAGAAGGGGAGGACTTCTTATCTTGTTAAGACTCCGTCTTGTTAGGACTGAGCCAGGGAATATCAGGGGACCTCAGGGGAATAGGACTGGGACGGTGGCGGAAGGTTGCCAGTGGGGAAGGGCTGGACAGAAGAATGGCAGGGCCTGGGTTGCAGGGAGAACAAGGGCAGGGATGGATATAGGAAGGCCTGTGGCTGGGTGGGAAGCGCTGGTGGTGGTGATGGAGATACCTTCACCAAGCTCTCCAAAGGCTTCATCCTAGGAGCATGGACCCATCTGGGGCCTCCCTGCACCCTCAAGATGCCTGGCTAGGATCAGTCTCTGGAAGGTAGGGAAAGGGGATTCCGTTGTCCTCAGCTGGAGCCCAGGGCTGGTCCGTAAGGCTGCAGAGGGATCCTCTGGGAGGCCTTTTCCACCTCTGGCTCCTGCTTTGGCTTCTTTGCCTGAAGGGACCTAGGGACAGAGAACTCAGGAAAAGCCCTCGACCCAGACCTGCTTCTCCAGGGAGAAGCACTGATGGGGCCAGAGGCAGTGACTGACCAGTTTTCCAGGTCTTCGATAGTCTCTGGCAAGGGCTGATTCAGAGTCTCAGGCAGGAAGAGGGCAGCACTGCCCCCAAGGAGAGCGATGATCCCATAGATGATATTGGGGATGAGGGGCTGCACCTCACCCGTGATTTTCACCAGCGGGGACAACATGCTTCCCACACGGGTCCACAGGTTACTTACGCCCATACCTGTTTGCCTGTGAGGGTTCAGAGTAGGGATTGGCAGCCTGTGTATGGGGTTCATAAAGGATGGCTCCCCTGGGCAGGGGACAGGACAGTGCTGCAGTCCCACCTGACCTTGAGTCCTCTGGCTGGGCCCGGCCCCAGGTCCAGCACCTACCTGATGACTGTGGGGTATAATTCGCTTGTGTAGAGGAAGAGGCAGCTGAAGGAGCTGGATAGGCATCCCTTCCCAAACACAGCCAATACTGTCCTCACAGTCTGCAAGTCTGCAGAGGAAAGAAAATGTGGTGGGCCTTGGGGTTCAGGAGCACCTAAGAGTTCTCACTTCTTAACCGATCTTGTCTCCCTTTTTGCTTTGGTTTCCAGGAAGCTCAGATCCAAACTTAAAGCTGAGTAATAGTCCCTCTGCTATTCCTAATTCTTTGCATGCCTGTGTCCTGCTATGTTTGTGTTTTTCCCTGCCTCTGATCCTCTATTCCCATTTATGTTTTGTTGCATATGGTTGTATATGTTCTTGTCTTAAAATACCTTAAGTTCCTTTGGAAAGATATAGGTGTATCAACCAACTAACACATATAAATTAAACGTGGCTTTTTCAAGGTCATGATGGAGTAGGTTGTGGGGTCTTTCTTGAGCATGGCTCTGTCATGTTACCATCTCAGCTTATCCTCTACGGTGATGTCACTCAGGACACTCTCAATACAACAATATTTTTCACACTGTTCAGATGCCACCATACTTTGCCCAGTCCAAGTCAGATCTGGAAAGGAGCTTTGATATCATCTAGCCCAATTGAGTTATTTTCTGGATGAGAGACCCTGAGCTCCAGAGAAGTGCAGGGACCTGCCCAAGGTAACACAGTGAATTAGAGGCAGAGCCAGCAATGGAGTCCCTGGCACCCAACCTGGCAGCCTCTTCCAGAGGATTCTGGGGTAGCCCCAGTCTCTCACCCAAGGGCACAAAGGTGAGAGCCAAGATGGCCCCTCCTGCCAGTAGCAGGGCAGCGGCCTGAGTGGTGTGCCGGCCCAGATAGCTTAAGGAGAGGATGGTGATGAACTTGGCTGGGACATCGACCCCACCAAAGATGATCTGGAGGATGTAGAGGTTGACTCCAAATTCTTCCACACCCATAGCCAAACTATAGTAGGCAAAACCGGTGGCAAACCTGAGAGGCAGAGAAGGATTGGTTAGCACCTGCAGCCAGGCAGAGGCCACTCCCCATGCTGGTCATTGGGTCACCAGGATGATGAATAGCTTCACTTCTTGTGCCAACTGCAACTCATAATAGGGGCTGCTTGAGTGTCCTTTTGAGGTTTCTGAGAATGTGTCTGGGCTCAGGGAGAAAGCGCTGTGATTGACTGGCCATGTCTGACGTGGGCATGGTCCAGGGTGTGGCGGCAAAGGCGCCGATAACTGACTCTAGAGAAGATCAGGACTGGAGGGAATCTTGGAGACCAAAGGAGGCAGTCAGTGATCTCTCCTGGTTGGGCAGTAGTTTCACCTCCAGACTGGGGAGGTGAGCACTGAGCTGTATGCCTGGTTCTAATGTTTCCCCTTCCTCTCTCTGAACTGTGGGATCCCTTTGAAGGGTTCTTCGACAAATTGAATTGCATCCACAAGGAAATGGCCAGGGTGGAAAGAGCCTCAGAACCAGGTCACAGAAAAGGCTTTCAGGGAGCTGGAGAAATCAGACAGAAGAGAAAACTTGAGAGAAATATAATTTTTGTCTTTAAGTCTGAAGCCCTGTGGGCCAGCTTTGCTCTGTGGGGTTCCCACAGAGCTGGACCAGAGGGGGACAGTGACAGAGAAGCAGAGCGTGGGGACACTGAGTGGCAGGGATGTGAGCTGGGGAAGGGGTCTGGAGCATTTGTCCTGTGGGTGAGGGGTGGGGCATTGTGACCCCAGAGGGCAGCAGACCCTGATGGTCAGACCTGGGTGTGAAGCAGGAATGCAGTAGATTTCTGGGGCTGGGCTGGGCTGTGGTGGCCCAGGAACGGGGATCCCCTGACTTCTCTTTCAGATGCCCTAGGCCTTGCCCTTAGGTGAACCTGCTGGAGGCCTTGTCTGTTACTCCTGCCTTGGCAGGGTATGGGGTTGGGGGGGCAGGTTACCAGGCCAGGGAAAGACAGAAGGTCATGCGGCGCAGGATGGGTATCCGGAACAGGTCAGTTGCGCTGTACTTGGCCTTGGCCAAGGAGATCTCCTTTTGCAGGTTGAGTTTGAGCTCCTTGGGGCAGAGGAGGGGGAGGGATGCCATTAATGACCAGCTGGTGGGCAGGAAGAAGAGAGGGAGATGCAGACCAGTGCCTCTAGAGGAACACAGGGAATCAGATGGGGTATAGGCTGTGAGCAGGGAAAACTGAGGTAAGGGGAGGGTACAGCTCCAGAGTGGAGCACAGGGGCCCAGCTCCCAGACTGCCGTCCTTCTCAGCCCCTACCTCCAAGCTGAGCCTTTCTCCCTCTTCCTTCTTGCCATTGAAGGCAGCCACCCGCCGCAGTATCTTCAGGGCCTTCGAGGACTTTCCAGACAGGACCAACCAGCGTATGGACTCTGGTGTCCACCTGGGGGCCAGAGACCGGTCACAGTGGCTCTTCCCACTCCAGAGCCCCTTTCGAGAGGCTGGAAGAACATCAGCAGCCAGGGCCAAGGGGTAGGAGGACCAGAAACCTGAGCTGTCTTGCTGCAGATTTCATGGAATTTAAACTTGGCCAAACTCTGCACCTGGGCTGCCTGCAGCCAGCACAAATTCCAGTGTTCTCTTCTTCCCCTTCCAGAAGAGCCTTTCTTCTGCCCCCCACCTGGGCTACTTATTATTGTTGGGTGTCTTCCTTAACTAGGAGCCCCAGGCTCTAGGCCAAGGCAGGGCCTTGGGGAGGGGATAGCATGTTCAAGACTGAGGGGTCCTTCTCATCCACCTCCCCAGCCTCCCTTGAACTCTGCTGGGGGAGTTGTGGAGGGGGTGAGCACAGCATGGAGTCTTGGGATTGGCAAATGGGCAGTCACCCCTAACTCTCCCTTGCCCCCAGGCTATGCTTTTGAGGTTGGCTCATTCTGAGCAGTCCCTGAGGGTCCCTAGAATAAGAGGAAAGGAAGAGGCTGAGACGAGGGAAGGAAGGAGTGGTGTTTGGAAAAGTCTGGTCCAAGGTGGGGTCAGCTTTAGCTGTAGCCCCTGTGGGTGACCTGGATCCAGTGAGGCTCTCAGGGAGTGGGCATTGGTTACCTGGCCTCAGGCCACTGCCCCAGCTGATGGTGGCAGCTTCCTGGGCCCATCACTATCCCTCCTCCTGCTCTGACAGTCTCCTGAGCCTGCTCTTACTAAGATTATCACTGACTTCCTCTCAAAACCACAGCTAGGGCCTGGACTCTATCCTCCTCTTCCTGGGAATTATGGCAGCAATGGCTTATAGTTAGCGAGCCTTCATATGTACCAGGCCCACGAAACTCTGGCTGACAGGCAATATTATCTCCATTTTACCTAGAAAAATCCTGATGCTCAGAGTGCATGAGACTTGCCCCAAGTCACACAGTGAACGGGCTCAAGCTCTTGACTGTACTCTGCTGATCGCCTACCCTTATTTTGCCACCTGACTCTGAGTCACCCCCAGGTTGCCCATCCCTTCTGAAAGCTGCTATTCTCATTTCCAAGCTGAGGTTCCATCCCAGCTTTGCATTTTTTTGTGTAACTCTGAGGACCTGCTCACATCTCTGAGCCTTAGTTTCCTCATTCATAAAATGGGGACAATAATGTCTCCCTCACACACAGAAGCCATGAAGGTCAGAGACAATGTAGGTTGATGCCCAAAGCAGGCCTAGCAAGTAGCACATGCTCAATAAAAGTTTGCTCCAGATGCCAGGTGTGGTGGCTCACGCGTGTAATCCCAGCAGTCTAGGAGGCTGAGGCAGGCGGATCACGAGGTCAAGAGATCAAGATCATCCTGGCCAACATGATGAAACCCTGTCTCTACTGAAAATACAAAAATTAGCTGGACATGGTGGCACGTGCCTGTAGTCCCAGCTACTCAGGAGGCTGAGGCGGGAGAATGGCTTGAACCTGGGAGGTGGAGGTTGCAGTGAGCTGAGATCGTGCCACTGTACTCCAGCCTGGGATCAGAGCGAGACTCCACTCAAAAAAAAAAAAAAAAAAAAGGTCGATCCAAGACCTCACTTCTGATCGACCTCACTTCTTTTCCTGAGCTCCTTTGGGATTTCCTGCTCTTCCTGAGCTCCCTTGGGATTTCCTGCTTTGACTACTTTTTTGAGACAAAGTTTTACTTTTGTTGCTCAGGCTGGAGTGCAGTGGCGTGATCTTGGCTTACTGCAACCTTCACCTCCCACGTTCAAGCAATTCTCCTGCCTCCTGAGTAGCAGGGATTACAGAAGCGTGTCCCCATACGCAGCTAATTTTTGTATTTTTAGTATAGGTGGGGTTTCACCATGTTGGCCAGGCTGGTCTCAAACTCCTGACCTCAAGTGATCCCGCTACCTCGGCCTCCTAAAGTGCTGGGATTATAGGTGTGAGCCACCGTGCCTGGCCAGCTCTGACGACCTTCCTGTCTTTTGGTGTGGCCTCGGGTTCAACACGTTGGTAATGAGCTCTCTGCCTGCCATGGATAGAGACCCAGGCTGACCTGCATTTTCCCAGGTTCCCAGGTTCAGGCTCCTCTTTGAACTTTCCTGTATACTTCAACTCCAGTAGTCCCAAATTCTCCAGATTCTTCCTTCAAGATATTTCCCAGATTATTAGTCTCCCAGAATCCTCCTCCCTGTATAGTCCTCTCCCATCTGTCTGTTGGGTCTCAGCTGGGTTTGTCCTTCTGGGCTATTATTTCACAAATGGAACCTTGGTCAGACCTGTGGCACCACAGAGTTTTTTGGTGGCTTTCTACATGATGTCCAGACTTCCCTCCGCATGAAGTCCAGGCCCCCTAGCTTCCCGTGCTCTCCTAGCCGGTCCCCATCTGGTCCACCTCCACTTAACCCTCTTCAGCTGCAGGCAGGCCCTGGTTCCCCACGACCCTGCATCCCAGCTCTCTTCTGCAGCATGCATTTGTTCATGTAATTCCTCCTCCCTGGAGTGCCCTTCCCTGACGCTGGGATGGGGTACCCAGGGACACAGAGTTGGCTGGCCTGGGCAGGGCTGGGCTCCCCTGTGTGGCTGTGGGGCGCCTAAGGAAACAGATGAAGAGGAGAGGGACACATACCAGGATGACAGGAAGAAGATGAAGAAGGGAATGGACACAGTTAACTGCAGCCAGCGCCACTGGGGGATGGCATAGGCCAGGCCGGGCAGAATGAACTGGCCAACGGTGTAGCAGTACCCGAGTGCTGTTGACATGATGGCCCGCATCCGGGTAGGCACCCACTCCACATCTGTGGGAAGAGCCCAAGGACCAGATTAGGGTTCTGCTAGGCCCCAGGCACCTCCCTGTGAAGGGGCACTGGCTTCTGACTCCCCACGGCTACTTGATCTGTTGCTGACCCTAAATTCATCATTCCCGTTTTACAGATGCCACAGCTGAGGCTCCAGGGGGCAGGACTCAAACCTAGGTGTGTCTGTCTCCAAACTCAAGCTCTTAACCATGGCTTCACCAGTGGCAAGTGACTTTCTCTGTTCTGCCTCAGTTTCCTGATCTGTAAAATGGGGACAATAGTGTCACTTACTTGCAAGTGTTATTGAATGAGATTGTGTACTTAGCAGAGTGTCAGGCCCTGGGTATGTCCTCAGTATTGACAGCTGCTATTTCTATGCTTGTGGTCAATGTTAAGTTCAAATGGGGTCTCTGAGAGTGGGAGGCACCTTGACCAAGGTCATTGGGAGCCTGTGGTTGAGCCAGATTCAGACCCCATTCTCTTTTGGCTTCTGGATTGTACGCCCCAAAGCCCAGCTAACTGCTTCCTTGCGACTCACTCAAGATGACGGTGCTCAGGGTGATGCCTGAGATGCCACAGCCACACAGGAAGCGGAAGATCACGTAGCTGGGGAAGGAGGAGCTGAAGGCTGCACTGGAGCCGCTGGCTGCCAGCAACAGGTAGCTGCAGGTCAGAATGGGTCTGCGGCCAAACCTGGGGCTCAAAGGAGAGGAGGGGCCAGGTTAGCCACAGTGTGCCTGCCAGGAGGAGTGACTCTGCAGACTGTGGGGCAAAGAGTTAAACCCGACTCCCAACCCTTCCCTGTGGGGCATGTAAAGTTCCCCATCCAGACGGAGCTTTCTTGGTAATTGTTATTTTTTGACAAGTTTGCAATTAGAGGTTTTAGTTAATATGTGATCTCTACATCCATCTCAGCTCGGCTGACTAAGCAAGAGTCAAAGGGCCGCCCATCTCTAAGCAGTCCGTCTGCTCTGCCTCCACTGCGATGCAGCCACTGAGCTATGTCCCAAAACCTGGAGGCTTTTCTCTCTGGAAGAAAGGAAGGCTGGAAGATTCCAGTTGTAAGGGCTTTCGGGTGGAGCCAAGGCTGCGGTCCAGAAAGGTAGTGAGGCTTGCCCAAGACCACACAGCAAGGGCCATCCCACCCTCCTCCAGCTCTTTGCCTCTTTGGGGGTGCATGGGTGGAGCAGAGCAGGGAGGGGTTGTCTTCGTGGGTCATGCCTCCATGGGCTGGGCCCCCACATCTCACCTGTCAGACAGGTCTCCAAGCACGAGCCCTCCGATCAGTATGCCTGCCATGAAGATAGACTGGGCCATCTCCTTCAGTTTGTTGGAGTTGCACACCAAGTCCCACTGCACAGGAGAAAGGTTGGGCTAGCCTGATTCAATATAGACAGCCCGCTCAGCCATGCTCAGCCTGTGCCCTCATACACGTGGGCTTCCTCTCCCAGCGCCCTAACTTGGCCCCTACCTCCCAAGGACCATTTCCTTTTTCAGCCTGGCTCGGGCTCCTTGGGTTTGTCTGTGGCTTTTTGGCCCCTGACCTGTATCCCTCAGGCATGTGTGGCCTGTCATATGGCTCTCAAAGTCTACTCAGCTGCCACATCCAGGTCTGGCCTCCACTTCTTCCTTCCTCCCCTCCAAGATGCCTGCGTCCCTGCGACTCCCTGCTTGCCTCCTCCCCACCCCTCACACAGCCCAGGCCAGTCCCTCTGCCAACACCCTTGACCTCACTCTCTCTCCTCTACAGGGACAGTCCTCTATCCTTGCCACCCCTCTTCATCCTGCATATCCAATCTCTCCCTCTCTCTGCTCCTCCTCATCCGTATTTGGGTGTGTCCAAGTCTCTCCATCTCAAAACCTCTTTCCTTTCCCCATTCACTTCCATTTCTCTCTTCCCTTCAAAGCTAAATTCTTTGAACAAGGAACTACTCTGGCTAATTGCTCTGTCCTCATCTCCTTTTCATTTCTCAATTCTGCCCCCAATCCATCTGCTGATTCTGTGCTTATCAAGGTCACAGAAGCTTCTTTTTTACGATGCACGATGGAATGTCCCGAATCCTGTACTGGCTTGCCCTCTGGCAGATGTGGATGCTGCTGACCTTGCCCTCCTTCCGTCAGGGCTTCCTGCTGTTCCGCACTCCTCCTCTCCTTTCTCTCTGCCTAGCCCTTGAAGCTTCCCCAGGGCTCTTCCTGAATCCTCCTCTCTCTCTACTTTCCCTGGGCGATGCCAGCTGTTCCTATGGCTTCAATTCCTATTTTATGCTGAAGATTCCAAGTCTACTCCTCCAGCCCAATCTCTCTTCTGACCTCCAGTGGAGTAGATTCAGTGGCCTAACTTGAGAACTCCTCTTGGATAAAGTCACAGGCGCATCCCAGACTCAATGGGACTTGTCACCGAACTCCTCATTGAAGTCCCAATCTCAGTGACTGATAACCTTCTATTTTTAATTAATTAATTAAATTATTACTATTGTTATTATTTTTAAGACGGCCTCACTCTGTTGCCCAGGCTGAGTACAGTGGTGTGATCATGGCTCACTGAAGCCTCAATCTCCTGGGCTCAAGCCATCCTCCTGAGTAGCTGGGACTACAGGCGTGCATGACCACACCTGGCTAATATTGGATTTTTTTTTGTACAGACAGGAGCTCACTGTGTTGCCCAGGCTGGTGTCTAACTCCTGGCCTCAAGTGATCTGCCTGCCTTGGCCTCCCAAAGTACTGGGATTATAGATGTGAGTCACCACGTTCAGCCTCTTTTTTAATTTTTATTAAAAAAAATTATATTGGCCGGGCCCAGTGGCTCACGCCCGTAATCTCAGCACTTTGGGAGGCCAAGGCAGGCAGATTATGAGGTCAGGAGGTCAAGGCCATCCTGGCCAACGTGGTGAAACCCCGTCTCTACTAATAATACAAAAATTAGCTGGACGTGATGCTGCATGCCTATAGTTCCAGCTACTTGGGAGGCTGAGGCAGGAGAATAGCTTGAACCTGGGTGTAGGAGGTTGCAGTTAGCAGAGATCGCACCACTGTACTCCAGCCTGATGATAGAGTGAGACTCTATCTCAAAAAAAAAAATTTATTATTTTTAATTGGCAAATTATAATTACATTACATGTATGAAAACAATGTGATGTTTTGATATATGTATGTAGTGTGAAGTGATTACATTAAGCTAATTAACATCACTTCATTTACTTGACGTTTTTTGTGGTGATACATTTGAAAGTCACCTTTTGAGTTATTGTGAAATAAACAATACACCATTATTACTAACTATGCAACAGATCTCAACGCATACTCCACCCATCTAGCTGAAACTTTGTACTCTTTGACAAGTAACTCCCCATTCCCTTGCTCCAGACCCTTACCTTGAGCCTCTGGTAACTATATCTTTATGCTCTCTACTTCTGTGAATTGGAGTTTTATCTTTCTTTCTTTCTTTTTTTTTTTTTTTTTTTGAGATTAACTCTCAGTCTCTTGCCCATGCTGGAATGCAGTGGCACTATGCTAACTGCAACCTCTGCCTCCAGGGTTCAAGCGATTCTCCTGCCTCAGCCTCCTGAGTAGCTGGGATTACAGGCATGCACCACCACACCTGGCTAATTTTTATATTTTTAGTAGAGAGGAGTTTCACCATGTTGGTCAGGCTGGCTTCAAACTCATGATCCACCTGCCTCAGCCTCCCAAAGTGCTGGGATTACAGGCTTGAGCTACTGCGCCGGGCCTGAATTGGACTTTGTTTTTAGATGCCACATGTAAGTGAGATCATGCTGATAACCCTCTCGACTCCTTCCTCTTTCCTACTCCACAATCACTTGATCTTCAAGATTCTAGCTTTTTTATATTTCTGGAATCTGGTTTCTTCCATTTCCACTACTATTGTTTTAGTGTCAGCCTCATCATCTTGTACTTAGATTAATAATGGCATCATTATTTGTTGAGGGCATTCTAGGTACTAGGCACTGTTCTAAGCTCTTTCCATATTTTAGCTTTAATCTTCACGACAACCTTATTATGTAGGTGCTAATATCATAATATCACCCTGCTTTACTGATAAAGAAACTGAGGCCCAGACCAGGCTGCTGCAGCAACCTCTTGGCAGGTGTCCTGGCCTTCGGTCTCATCCATTCCTAGCCATTCTTCCCCCGATAACCCGAATGGCTAAAATGTCATTCAAATCAGGTTCCTGTCTTGCCTAAAGCACTCAACTGGCTTCCCCTTGCCCTTTAGGTAAAGGTAATGCTCCATTAACACAGGCTTATGAAGCCCTCCATGCTCTGCCCCCTGCCTATCTGTCTGGTCTAATCTGCTAATCCCCAACATGCACCCTTTGCTCCAGCCATCTGAATTACTTGTGCAATGAAGTGGATAATTTAATTCAGTAGAAATTCCTCACAAGAATATTTTGGAAGCAAAACATTCCAAAAGGTGAAGAAACACATATTCCAGGGGGCTCTTTCCCTCTTTCCTCAGCTGAAAGTGGGGGAGGATGGTGGTGTATGGAGGCTTCAGGTCCTGCAGCTGTCTCAAAGTGGCCCAGCATGGCCAGCAAGCCCAGTGATCCCTTTTAGCTGGGAAGGGGGCCTGTATGGTATGTATGTTAGGAGGAATTGAAGGCAGGAAAAAGGTAGGGGAAGAAGCAAGGGGGTGTGAGGTGGAATATGCAAGTGGGCATCTAGAGAGACTTCTGTACTTTGTGAGATGCTATGTAAAGTCCCTTTAGGAAAATCTAAAGGAGAGACCTACTATTCACCCAAATTCATTTACCCCTTCTTCCATAGTAAATAGCACATTTCCCTGATGACCTTGTAGCTGGGTGGAGCCACATGGTTCTTGACAATGGAATGTAAGTAGAAGAGATGTATGTTACATCCACCTCATTTGCTTAAGAGGGATTCCCTAGTCTGAACTTGCATGCTTTCCCCCTCCTGTTGGAGGGAATGGTGACCACTAGAACAACTCTGAAGAGTTGCTGTCAGTCTGGGTCCCTGAATGACCCTGTGGAGCAGAACCACCCATTGGCCTAAAATGCTGCTCACCTTGGAACTGTTATATGAGAAAGAGAAACATTTCAATATTCTTCAAGCCATGAGTTATTGTTGTTGTAACAACCTAGCCTATCCTGATACATCCCATAAGAAGTTGCAAATGGAAATTAGATTTTTATCCCAACCTCCATAATAATGAGTGTTTTAAGAAATCAGTAATCTGTTTGGATCACAAGAGGGTCAATGTCAGACCTGCTTGGAATAGTTTCAGGCTGCTGTCCCGCTCCACCATCTGAGACCAGATGGGCTGGGTCTTGGTTTCTACCTTGATACTCATGATCGTGTAGGCTTTAGAATAACTGTCACAAACTGGTTTCTACCACAAAATTGAGCAATTTACAGAAAATATCATTCCTGGAATGAACTTTGAGTCCTGTTTAGAACATGCCAAAATCCTTACAATGGCTTATGAGGCCCTGCAGAATCAGCTAACCTTTTGTCACCTCTCTGCTCTGACCTGCTACTTCCCTTTCCCTCACATACTTCCACTCTTGTTGAATTGCACACGTTGCTGCTCCATAAACGTTTCAAGCACACTCCTTCTTCAGAGTCTTGGCATATGTTCTTCTGTTTGCCTAGAATGTTATCCTCCCAGATAGCTACTTAGCTTGCATCTCTTCGGATCTTCGCTCAAATGTTATCTTTTCAGTGAGACCTCCCTATTTACAAGTATAACTCCTGGCAGCCTGTGTCTCTCTACCCTACTTAATATTCTCAGTATAACTTATATCATCAGAATGCTCATAATTTTCCATCTTTTTGGTTTATTGTGTATTTCTTTCCTAAAAATATCAGCCTTATGAAGATAAGGCTTTTAGTCTGTTTTGTTTACTACAGTACTTTCATTGTCAAGAACAGTACCTGACACATAGTAGGCACTCAATAAATACCTGTAGAATTGAATGTGTGAACATTTCACAGAAAGCACAGAGGGATTGAGAGCCTTAGAAGTTAGAGATTTGCCAATGTCTCCACGAGAGGTTATAGGGCCCACACTCCAAATGCTATGTGGAGAACTGCCTCATTTCACCAGAATGAGTACAATAGTGTCTGTAGACTGTATGTACTGAGGATATAACCACACACCAGTGAGCAGGAGAGAAGTGTTTTTTCTTCACAGTCAGACTGGAACACCTTCTAAGGAAAAAGTGTTTACTGGAGGGTTATCATCCTTCAAGGAAGTTTTGAAGTTTAGCAGGAAGAGTGCTTTGTGGTTAAATATTTTTAAAAATTGAACTTCAATTGCACTCTAAATTGCTTCCAGAGATTTCATGGTTACTGAAGCACATCAGAACTGACGAG